GACGGAGCCGAAAGGGCCTGGGCGGGCTCAGTCCAAGATACATCAACAGGGGGGTGATATCAAAGCACTACAGGATTTGAAGGCGCCGGTCGTCTCTCAAAGAACAGATGTCAAGCAGGTTGAAGTCACCGCGAGTCAGACAGCCATAATCTCATCCGAAGAACGCGAACGCCAGAGCGATTATGATAACAGGCTGACACACAAGATATGGGAGCTGGCCACAACGAACGCAAACCCGGCAGTTGATCTTTTAGTCTGCCTGGAACGCCGCCAAACGATTGGATTCCGCTATGTGGACATCACTCGCAATGTTGTCATCCACCACGGAAGTAGAGATACTCGTGTCCCTGTCGACAATGTCCGTTGGTTGGGCAAAGGCATGCGACGTTGCGAAGTTCGAGTCCTCGAGGGCGAAGGTCACGGATTAATGGCCTCTGCCACCGTTATGGGTAATGTGCTGATGGAGATCGCGAAAGAGTGGGAGGACTGGATGACCGTGGTCCAGGGCAGGCGACGAGGGACAGTGGGACCGCGTCCGGGTTTCGCCTTGCCAACATGATGCATGATGCGCACCTGAGCACGCGCTGTACGTCTTTCTTATCACAACTACAAACACAATCACCCGTCTGCCCTCAGCCATTTAGCTGAGAGATCCCTATCCCCTACCTATTGTTTTTTTTATGACGCCGCTGCAGGTCTGCGGCTGTCGTCTTGCTGCAATCTCGACATCCCTGATGATGATCCCAGCCTCGAGTCCTGTTTTCAATATCAGGACACTTTTTGCACGTCGTCATCGAGAGTTATGCCTTTCACTTTTACTTAAATCATGATACCAATAGTCTTGTTCTGCTTGTTATTTGTTACTCCGAGAATACCCATTATAGCATAGATAGCCGAGCTTTTAATGTAGATTTTAATGAATAAGACAGCAAACAACGGCGCTGAATCTCTCTCAGAAACATTCAAAGTGATAGATAGAAGCTATTCTGTTGCGTTGAATTAGTATAATCTAGCCCTCAGAGAGGTATGTGATGAGTACTTACCGTGACGTAATTGGTAGCGCGAGCTAAGGTACAACGTACCTAATTCCAACGGACGATTTTGCCGCCTTTCTCATGGCAAATTGACCATATTACAAGTTCGTCACTTTGCTTTGGTTCCAGGCGGACCTGAGAGTTGGGAATAGACAGGAACATATTCAGGCCATTAGATTTCCCTGTGGTCTGTCCCTTTACGCGGGGATTGATTGTCGTGGTTAATGTACAGAAGCTACCCCTGGTACTCCATTACTGCGGAGCTGAACGAGCGTGATCACACTCTACATGCGAATCTCATGCTAGACGCAAGAGAACTACAGTCGCGGTCAAATAAAATACAATAATCAGATTGTCAGCACCGGACAGGTGCTATATCTGACCGAGGTCAAGCAGAACATATATCAAGATGTTCTCTCAGCGGCGGATCAGGCTTCTGCTTATAGCCGCCGTGTTGCTGATGGTCACCATCTTCTACTATTCGGTACGACCACCCTATCCTGCGAGGACTAAGCATACGGTAACTAATATAGCTTGCGAATGCTAGGGCGACGCCGGGACAATACAAAATCAAAGGTTCTATCGATCTACCGTCGCGGCGATAGACGCCCACAGAGAAGCAAAAGAGGCTGTATCAAAACAGAATGTGCAACCGCAGAAACCCGCCCCTCCAAAGCCCGTCGAGGAGAATGCAAAACCTGTAGTGGAGGAGGCGGACGGAGTCAAGGCGGCCATCCCCAAAGGCGCCAGTGAGGAGATGGAAGAGATCCCAATTGCAGGACGTACGAAGATGACGGTACCAAAGAACAAGAATCAGAATCCGCCCAAGCAAGAGCCTGCCCCGGCATCTTCTGAGGATGACTCCGAAGTTAAGAATGAGCTCAATGCTATTCTCAAGAGGTCGCCCAGTACGTTATGGCCCCTAAGACCCATATCTGTTGTCTACGAGAGGGTCTCTAACACCATGCTCTACTGCGCAGTCGTTATTTTCTCCAAATCCTACTGTCCTTATAGCAAGCGGGCAAAGTCTATCCTGCTCGAGAAATATAATATAGTACCTGCGCCGCACGTGGTCGAACTCGATCAGCATGCAATGGGACAACAACTTCAATCGCTCTTGGCAGAGAACACCGGCCGACGTACTGTACCCAATGTACTCGTCAATGGAAAGAGTATAGGCGGCGGTGACGACGTGAGTGCACTTGATGAGAAGGAAGAGCTTGCCTCGACGCTGAAGAGTCTGGGTGGGAAATGGATACAGGAGGTCGATCGTAAGGACCAAAATAAGCAGACTGAGTGATGGTCACCGCGCGGACAAGTATGATGGGGATATAATACAGCATGGAGTTTGGTCGGGTGTTTGGGCGACTGGGTTCCTGGTTTCTTCTCTTCTCACGAGTTCTCTGGATATTTGAAGCACAATCCCTTCGCGATAGGCACGGGAGCAAGTCATTGCAATTAAATAAGAAGTGAACGACTTTGCATTTCTTTCTCGATGTCCTATGATGTTCAAGTGGCTCTTATAGAAATGCTCTTTTGATGCCTCAGGCACCAGTTCAGCGACATTCAGCGATGATGGGGAGAGAGATGCAGCAGAACTTCTAATAAAAGCCAAATACCTCTCTAGACCGAATATCTATTACCAATGATGACAACGGACATCTAACATGCCCGTAATAATAATAATAATAATAATCAAAAGGTACCTTAGCTGGGGCTAGATACCTCTCTAGCTAACTGTAACATGTCCGCTGCTGGCAGAACCCTAGAAAACGCGCTAAGCCGGAATTGTCGTTAAGCGACGCACAACCCGCCCGCCCTCGATTTTCGCTCCACCAAGACCAGGCCGCCTCCGTTGAATTTCGATCCCTTCGACGACTGACCGCACGAACGACATCGACAATTCTCCCCTCGGACATTCCACAGCCCACGCAGTCAAGATGCGGTACATTTACTCCGAGGAACGGCTGCCAATTCCCGAGAATGGTGAGCACGCGATTCGTCCCTTGTTGTTTTGAGGTCATTGGAAGAAAAGACGCCGGAGCAGAATGGAAGACAAGCAGCGGTGCTTTTGGGTGCGCTGGGAAGTTGTCGCGCCAGTCTGGCTACAGGAACTGTTTGCAAGGAAGACCGCTGCTACATCTTTACCCAAGAGGAGGGAATGCGAGAATGACCGCTGTTTGGGATCAATGTCTTGAGAGGAATAGGGACTAACGTGGATTTACGCCGTTTAGTGAAGGTTCACATTCGCTCGCGAGTTGTGACCGTTGAGGGACCCCGAGGTACGCTGAATACAATACCCAATACTTGTCACGTTCCGGAATTCTCTTCTCTAGCAGAGGGAGAAATTTCAGTCCAGACGAGTGGCCCGTCATCGCTGGGGTCAACGGCACTGACTTGGAACTTTTTCACGCGAATCAGGCAAGCTCGTCAAGGACCTCTCCCACATTGCCGTCACCTTCGGCCGCCCCGAGAAGAATGTCATCTCCATCGAGATGCACCACGGTGTCCGCAAGGGCATCGCTACCCTGCGTACCGTTCGCACCCTTATCAACAACCTGATCATCGGTGTCACCCGAGGCTTCAAGTACAAGATGCGCTACGTCTACGCTCATTTTCCCATCAACGTCAACATTGAGAAGAACTCCGAGACTGGCCAGTATGAGGTTGAGATCAGGTATGCTACCGCATAAACCCCTGAAGGAAGCTGGGGAAAGAGAACAGGCTGGCCGTCCTTTCAGGGTCTCGAGCGAACGGGGCCTTTGGCCACGCGAGATACTGTCGCGTTCACTTTCTGAAAGAAGAAGAGCTTTGCTGACGGGCTTAACTCTTGCGCTTGTTAGAAACTTCTTGGGTGAGAAGATCGTTCGTCGTGTCACCGCCCAGTCCGGTGTCGAGGTCGCCACCTCCAACAACGTCAAGGATGAGCTCCTGCTCACCGGTAACTCCCTGGAGGCTGTCTCCCAGAGCGCTGCCGACATCCAGCAGATCTGCAGAGTCCGTAACAAGGATATCCGGAAGGTATGAATGTCGACCTGTTACGGTTGGTGTATGCCCTGATGCTGATCCCATATCTAGTTCCTTGACGGTCTGTACGTTTCGGAGAGAGGCAACATTGTTGAGGAATAGACGATTTACGGGTCCGTCCGCCGTGCTGGGTAGTTGAGGATGTCTGGAGAACTTCATTTCGCACTACTTGCATTAGGGAAAAAGCAAAGCGAAAATCAATGCAAAACTAAAACGGAATTCGAATGCCCCTTTACGTGTCCACGGATATGGCTTTTCTCATCTGGGGAACATAGTATGTAGGAAATATCCGGCTTCTACGAACAATCCAAGTTTCCTTTACTTCCATTCAAGCTTGGTTTACACTGTTGAATACATATCTCAAGACCTTGTACCCGGCTCTTTTCTGCCTACATCCGACGTATCGTAGCCGGCATTCGCTGCAGGGCGACCTGAGGTGAGAGCCGAGAAAACCGCCAAGTGTAGCCAGATAAATGGATCTCCTGAAAAAGACATCTATAGATCCTGAATACACGCCGGAACTAAACGTGGGAGCGGTTAATTTCACATGTGGCGGAGAGTTCCAATGCTCTGACAGATCCCATGTCTCTTTTCATCTTCCATCCCTGGTAACCTCCAACAACAACAACTACAACTTCTTCTCCTCTATCCGTCTTCTACGGAACCTCAATCTCGGGGCTCTTTTTCTGGCAGAATGATTGTTGTCTCGATTTGACTGCCACTAAAGCAGGGCTGATGAGACACCTTCTCCGCGTCATATGTCATACCCCATCAACTCTTAGCATGTGAAAGCAAGAACACCCACATGCGCCGTACGCCATTACGCTCACCGCACACTGTTTGTAGTCCACCATAAAAAGATGGAGTCCTGGGTAGCTATCTCTGGCCTTTTCTCTGCGATCTTTAGCATGGTGCTCGACGTCGCGCTGTTCTGGAAACATGTATGCTCTTCAACCTCCGCGCAAAGATGTTCCAATGGCTCTGCTGATCAAGGTCGCCCTGCAGAGGTTACTGGCATGGTGGTTCTCAAAATCGCCTAGAACTAGGCTGCGACATCGTCTGGCCTCCGCGCAGACATTTGAGGAGTGGGAAGAGGCTGCTTTTGAGCTGGACGAGCTCCGGAGCGCGGATTTATGGTACGTTGGTTTTAGCTCTCGCCTGCCTGGACTGAAAAGGGCAGTAGCTAACGGTAGTGCAGGCGCCAGAACCCGACAAGTCGACACTACGACTACCGATTGATTCTGGGGCGAGTAGAAGCTTTGATGACTGCTCGTGAGGAAGAGGATATCCTGACACTGGCCAATCTTCTTCGCTCCGGACTTGTCCGCAACCTGGGCAACATCACCTCCCCGAAACTCTTCTTACATGCGTACGCTGGCACGAAACTCCTCATTGATGACTATATCACACAAGTCGCACTTTCGATCCAGCACATAACGGCTCTGCAGACCGCTCCAGTCCACGAGAGTGGGTTCACCTCGCAGGCCAAGCTGGAGCTCCTGCATGATACTCGCCAAGCTTTCGGTAGAACAACTCTGCTCCTGCAAGGTGGCTCAATATTCGGGCTATGTCATCTTGGTGTGGTCAAGGCTCTGCATCTGCAGGGTCTTTTGCCCAGAATCATCACGGGGACAGGAACTGGAGCGCTCATTGCGGCTCTGGTTGGGATCCACTCCGAGGACGAATTGTTGTCGTTCCTTGATAGTGATGGGATTGATTTGACGGCTTTTGATCGCCGACGACGGGAGAAGCTTTCTGGCGAGCACTCACAGGAATTGCCTTACGGTAGCGAAGACAGCTGGCTTGGGACGCTTTTCCGTCGGGTGAAGCGCTACATTGAAAAAGGCTACTTTCTCGACGCTGGAGTTCTGGAGGAATGTGTGCGGGCGAATTTGGGTGATTTAACCTTCGAGGAAGCATATGCACGGTCGAAACGTATCTTGAACATTACAATAGCGACATCGGGCAAGAATGGCACCCCGAACCTGCTGAATTACCTGACCGCGCCGAATGTTGTAAGTATACACTTTACGCTCAGCTTTGAAGCTTTAGATTTTGGAACAGTCACTTTGTTTCGTGAACCTTGCTGACGCACTACAGTTAATCTGGTCGGCGGCAGTTGCCTCGAACGCGTCCTCGCGTACGTTATACCAGCCTGTCACGATATACTGCAAAGATGAAACAGGCTCAATAGTCCCCTGGCCACACGCTCAGGACGCCACCTTCCACTCATGGCGCCACGTACATTATAGCGACGGGGAGTCACCGCTTTCCCGCATCGCCGAGTTATTCAACGTCAACCACTTCATCGTGTCGCAGGCGCGGCCGTATCTCATTCCATTTCTGGGCTCGGACCTGAACCTGCTCGACCGCCATCAGACAGGCCAGTGGAACATCACGCGGCCGCTGAAGCGCCTAGTCGTCGTGGAGCTGCGCCACCGACTTCGCCAGCTGGACTACCTCGGTCTCCTGCCTCAAATCATCGGCCGACTCCTCATCGAAGAGACGATCCCTGGATCGAATCTCACGCTTGTTCCCGATCTATCTCTGATTGACTTTACGGAGCTCCTACAGAATCCGAGCAAGGACAACCTGGCATACTGGATCTTAAAGGGTGAAAGGAGCGTATGGCCAGCTATCGGCGCGCTCAAGGTTCGCTGTGCGGTCGAGATCGAGCTTGACAAGGGGTATCAGCGCGTGCGGCGAAGGCGGCCTAGCGAGAGTGTAGCATTGCACCGGCGAGGTCCCAACGAGGGTGTACCCAGGAGACGGAGGGGGTATAGTATAGACAACGGACGGGATCTGAGCAGTTTGCTGGGGAGTGCGGACTATCAGCCGGATGTGCCGAATTCATGACAGGAAGAGGATGGCTGATAAATACAAGGTGACTGTCAGCCTGTCGACTCAGCTGGGCTGCGTGTTACCCTACGAATAGAAGGAAGGCCTATTGGCGTGTACACATTGTAATTAATTATCTGGAATCCTATGGCGTCAATAGGCGAACTACGGAATTACCAAGAAAGACAGACATGTGTAAGTGTTGATCTCGACCAGGAGATCCAGGATGATATCAGTATTTTCAAAGTCCATCGGACTCAGGGGGTCCTTTGTATGCTACAGGTTGCGGACAACGCATGAGCAGACGTCCCACAGATATGAGAGGTAGATAGGAAACTTACATTTCCGTGCATATACAGCATACCAACCCGCCGCGATGGCCAGGAACCCCACAAATACGACGGACGCATAATTCATCGAGACCCGCGTGACGGGCAGCACTGTGGGCATGCTGAACAAGACCAGCTCGAAGCCGATCCAGCACAATGCGATGACGTTGACGATGGGGCCGACGACGGGCCCACAGTTCCACAGGGCCTTGGAGACCTCTGTGCGGCCGTGCCGGAGGCTGAGGAAGATGGGGATGGCGTAGGCGACGGCGAGGGCGATGACGCCGACGGAGACAAAGGCGGTAAAGGCGCTGGAGCTGCCGAGGTTGATGAGACCGAGAAGCATCTGGATGAGGGTGAGCAGGAGGAGGGACCAGACGGGGACGCCGAGGCGAGGGTCGACGCGAGCCCAGAGGCTGGCGAGTGGGATGGCATCGTCGCGGGCGAAAGCCCAGGTGGAGCGCGAGGCGGCTACGGTGATACTGATGGAGCAGAAGAGCGTGATGACGAGGACGAGGGTGGTCAGTGCGAGGCCGCCGCCGGGGCTGCCCATGACTCGGTGGAAGATGTAGGGGAGGGCCTGGGCGGCAGGGGCCGTAAGGATGTCTTCCAGCGGCGGTAGAGTGAAACAGATGGGGAGGATGAAGAACAGGCCCGCCAGACCTCCGACGGGGACACAAAGGCTGATTGCCCGGGGGACGTGGACTGCGGGATGGGCACACTCCTCTGCCATGGAGGAGACCATGCCGATGGCAGAGAACGTGTAGGCGGCGGGCAGGAGTCCGATAAAGAACGTGAAGCCGCCCCATCCGGAAAGGCTCTGATCGTAGTGGCCCAAAGCGTAGGCCGCGCTGTGCCTGCCCGCGTCGGCCTTGACGGATAACGCAATTAGGCTGATGAGGATGGTGAGTGCGGTGAAGGTAGCACAGGCGATGTCGACCTGGGGAAGGTAGCGATTGCCAAACGTGCAGATGAAGAACGAGCCGATGCAGATGGCGTAGAAGATTAGCAGGAGCTGCCAGTCATTAGCGGCCCAGTCCGGATGGTACATCGAGATGGTGGCCGAGACCAGCGATGCGAAGCCAAAGTTGACGGAGAGCGTGATGGTCCAGTTGCCGACCAGCCAGATCCAACCGTTGATGAACGACAGCACCGTCTTGGAGCTCCTTGAGATCTGAAACGACCAATAGTAAGGACCTGCAGATGTCGGCCAGCGAGATGCGAGCTCGGCCAAGGATAACGCTACACATTCATCGAGAACACAGACCATGATCCAGCCGACGAAGATCGAGAGAGGACCCCCGCCGTAGATGGCACTGAGTAGAGGACCTCCCTCCCCGTAGGGAATGGCGGCAATGGCCAGGGTCTGAAAGAGCAAAGTGAGAACGGAGCGGTTGCGACGGAGCTCCTGCTTGTACCCTAGGCGGTCGAGTCCCTCGCCTTCCTGGATGCTGCCGGTCTCAGGAGCAACATCTTCCTTACTATGCGCACTGCTGGAGTCAGGTAGCTTGCAATCCGCTCCGACACCCATGCCGAAAGATGAATTCTATAATGAGCACTGCAGATGTATCAAAAGGGCCTCAAGAAGAAAGGCCGAGGTCCTGTGCTGCTAATCAAGTCAGCAAGGGGGGTCTATTTATTACCCAAAGCTGAGTCGGTTGCTCACTATTCTAACATGCATGGATGGTCCTTTCCAGGGTGGTAACACAACTGATAAGACGCATCGAATCACCACAATTCGAGCCAATCCGGTATTGAAAATCCAGGCGCTCCTGCACATTCCAGAATCCAAGCGGGGGAAGGATTTGGTATACCCATTGGGAACGCGGGACGTAACGCTGGTGGCAAAGCAAGCACGTCGCGTATCAGGATCTATGAATAGACGGGGTACAACCTTGATAATAAAGTCCGATGAACCATGAAGGATGCTGGACAGTCCACGGAGCTTTCATGCATTGCCCCCCTTGCTTTGACACTAGTAGAGCTGCTCACATCTCTCAGCTCCGCAACTCCAACCCCTGTAAGCCAGCCTGTGTCATGAAGCGCAGGGGAAAACCAAAGCAGAGCGATGGTCCCTCGGCATATGGCATGTTCAATTGATGGTTGCAGAGATAAGGGAGAGATATTCAGCAGTAAATTTAGATAAGCCCTGGGAGGCTGGGACAGCTTGAGACTATCAGCAAGCATCTGGATACTGAATGCAGCCGTAGACTTAGCCCGATGCAGTAAGGGAATCCGTTTGATGATGTCCATTAGAGTTTCTTCAACGGTCATCAGTTGTCTATCGGAAGTTTCTCTGTCATTTCTCTGTCATCAAAAGCCACATCGTGCGGGGTCTTCAGGATCGTCTCCGCATCATCGAAAGAGCCATTCAGTGCGGGGAAATACCTTGATGCTGAGGAGTGAGACCGAATAAGATATCATGATCGGTGACAGAAGGTTGACTAGGGTTTCTTTTGTTGGAAAGTCGGCGATGTGTGTGTGTGTGTGGAAGCGGATGAAGAATGGACGAAGTAGTAGTGCTGGGGGAGGAGAGAAGTTTCCCTTAGTGACTAGTCGTCCATCCCCCTCAAGAGTGCAACTCCCAACATCACTGTAAACATCCCTTCTTGCTTGACAATACCCCGGATGATGACATACACGTTGTTTAAAGCTATGTCTCGGAGGGCTAAACGACTGAAAAGGGGTCTAGTTGTTCTACTATAGCCTTCTCCTTGATCATTCGATCGGGATGAACCCTCATCCCCTTCATGAGAGTCGCATCCTTCAATCAAATGAATTTACCCGAAGGCAAGGCACAGCCCTCGTGACTGCAAAGACAGTACACCAAATGTTCATTATGGAAAACTTAGATCGGGATATACATCAGCCAATGAATTATAACCAACAATTATCAAGGAAAAAGAAAAGACGGCTCCATCAGCTGCACCGCAGCGATGATTTGTGGAGAGAGACTAGTGGACAGCAGTATGAGGGCGAGCAGATCGCGAAGAGTGCGGTCGAGGGGAAGGAGCCCGCAAAGAATGCGCGAGACGAGAAGTGGGCCTTGAAGGGATCTGTGCTGCAACATATGACAGGGGAGGGACTGCGCCATCCATGTCAGCCGTTATTCTCGAAGCAAACGGAAAGGAAGACGAAGGAGAAAGGAGGCGAACTTACTGCTGAAACCGTAGCCCTCAGTGACTCCCTCGGTGTTTTGCGGGTTGATCTCGACTCGCACGGCTATGTCCAGTCCGCCATGCATGCCACTATTGCTGGTGACGCCGTCTGCAGCTGAATGGGTCGAGCCTGCGTCAGCTTCGCCCTTGTGCAACGGCGAGTGGCCGTTCTTAGGGATCGGGAATGATTGGTCCCCGTTGGCGGCATCACCATTGGTAGACGGGGCGTCAACTTCGGTGATACAAGCATAATTACGCGACGGCATGGTCACCTTGTTCCAGGAAGCACTCTTTTCCACGCCGCCTGGTTGTTTGTCGAAGAAAGCCATCAGCGTCTCGTCTGTATCCCCATCCATATGGTGGATCTTGTTCCTGCGAGCTAGGAGGTTTGCAACAGCCTTGGGGGGCGGCTTGTTGGTTATTGCGCTGCTAACTATGTTGACCATGTATCGAGGATCACTCTCACTTGGGATGCCAAGCTTGGGGTTCGAGTAGAAGCGCCCAATCGCGGCGAGGTGCACGTCTCCGCCCAAGATGGTCACGCGAATGGAATGCGCAGCGGCAAAGTGCTGAAGACGCTGAATGAAGATCCGTCGCTCTCGCTTGTGCTGGCGGGCAGTGTAATGGTCATCCAGGTCATCCAGCAAGTCGACCTGGCCGTCAAACTTGTTGAACAAGCCGCCGGCGAGACCGAACCGCTTGTTCAGCAGGCGGATCGGCGCAATAATGGGAGAGCTCAAGATATTTTCAAGCCAGGCGAGGCGGGGATACGCAATGGGGACACCGAGAAGAACCACGAGATGTTTGATATCCCCATTGGCCGCTGCCACTTCACGCTCAAGACGAGAGAAGATAAGATCATAGGTTTCCGGGTAATTGACCTGGTGCCGGGTTCGTTCTGTACGCGCATCAACGCCGATGAACGCAATCCGCTTGCCCAGGCGCATATACAGATTCCTGCTTTTCTCCTCTACATAAGGCCCATGGCTTTTGCCAACGATCCAACTGTTGTCCTCGGGCTGATTTTCCTGAACAAACGTGTTCTCTGTCTGCCGAGGGTCAGCACCTGCTGTGCCGTTGATCGCTTGCATGGTCTGCGGGGCATCCGTGGTGAAGGTAGATTTTGGCGGCGCAAGGTGGTGCTGAAACAGGCAGTAATACTTGTACGCTACGCCTCCAATGCCGCGAAAGACGGCGCACCGCATGAAGTGGTCCGTGTACGAACCGAAGCCGTCGATGATGTCGTGGTCGTCCCAGATATTGATCTGAGGGATCTGTGCATTGGCGGTCTTGAACGGCTCGGTGGAGTACCATCTGATGTAGTTTGCATAGTAATACTTGTCGCATCGAGCTCGCAGGGAGTTATCGAAATTGTGCGTCCGTCTTTTATGGGGATTCGCGATCGCCGTCCATTCCTTCAAAGGGCCATCCACCCGGACTCCGTCGTTGTAGATTTGGTCACCGCCACCGATCATGACGTGGAAGGGCTTTTGCGCATGAACGCGAAGGACATCATTCCACAAATTGGGAC